CTGAGAAAGATCGTCGTTTTGATGCATGTCGTAGACGAGCGCAACGGAGGCCGCCATCCCCGCCGCCGTCGCACTACAAATGCAAGGACGGCTTTTTTGAGTTCCAAAGTTTTGCAGAATTACGAGCTTTTTATAGCACTACATCGAATCGCAGAGTGCCATCAAAATAAGCGTATTAAACAAATTACGCAAGGGCGAGAGGAGCTAGTAGCTAGCTCTCCTAGCGCATACCAGTCCCACTGAATAATCATATTTTTGCCGAAATTTACGGCATCGGGCTGAGATTGGTGGAGCCAAAAGGCGCCTTTATGATAAGTGCGTCTAGTTTTTCACCACCGTCTGCTAACTCTCATGTCAGCAGAAATAGCTCTTTGAACATGGACATAAAGTTATCGTGAGAGTAAGTGGCTCGACTTTATGGGCCATCTTCTGCAAAGGACAGTAGGGGGAGGAAATGTAGACTGCAAGTGGGTGATGGAAGTATCCTTCTCACATGAACTTTTACTGGTGGTGTCTCAGCTGAGAAAAACGATTTTACACAGAGACGTAAAAAAGGGGCTTCGGATGCCAGTTTTGTCTTAAATTAGAGTTTTGTTGTTGAGCCTAGAAAATACGCAAATTAACGGTTTGAAGGAAGTGATGCATGCTAATGCGACTATACGCAGAAAGTTTAAAAAAACTGTAATAGATTTTCTTAGGCTAGTGAAACCAATAAGTTTCCATGTGGACCTCCATATAATTACGTCAAATTGTTCATTTTGTGGGGTTCGTTTGTGCACAAATTTTCGACTCTATTTTATTTTTTTGTGCCAATGCACATCTAAGTAAAAAATATTGAGCAAATTCACTTTTCGGCTTCAAAAAGAGCAAAACACTTTTTAAAAAATTCTCCATTTATTTTACTAATGTACATTTAATCGTATGTAGATGTGCTGTGCAGAGTTCAGCATTAAAATGCAAAAGAAAAATCAAAACTCGCTTATTTCATTAGACTGGAACCCACATATCAAAAGATTTGCAGCCTAATTACTGGACAAATTTTTGAGAGAAGAGTTGAAAAAATAAAATTGAAAAGTCGCAAACAATGTGTCCCGGTCGTGTGCAGAAAATCCGCCCTTCCCCCCCCCCCCCTCCCCTTGTCAGAAGAAGAAATCGACGGGCAGTAAAAGTCACCTGGATCGAGGAGACAAGCAAGGACATAAGTGAAATCGTAAACATTCCGAAGAGCGAAAGTTCGGCCGGGGGACCACCCTGGCGTTGTGTCGCACACTGCGCTAACTGCCATAGCGCTATTGGTTAGCCAGCGAAGGAAGAAGGGGGGGGGGGATGCTTGTCGAGGAAGCTTTGCTACGTACACACAACCCACATACCGTATAGATTTCGTTGTCGATAGCGATCGCAGCCGTCGACGACGACGACGGCGACGATGACAAGCAGCTTGGCGGCTTTGGCGAAGGTGTCGAAGGCGATATTAACACGACATCGATGGCGATGTTTACGATCAGATAAGACGTTGCGTTGCTATTGCACAGGTTGGACTACGGGGGGGGGGGGGGAGGAGGAGGGGCTGAGTGAGGATATCCCAGCGTTAAACGCACAGGTGCGAGCGCCAGTCAGGCCAGACTGCACGCCGTGGGAATGAATCATGGCGAGACGGGGCGGGGGCCACACCGGGGTGGAGCTATCGTATACAGTTGCTCCCCGTGCTGCTGCGGGCAAGAGCACTGAGACCGTCTGGCAGTAATGGACGCAGAAAAAACTGCGCCTGCGGAAAAAAAAAGCAAAGCCGGGAAAGGCACGTCCCATGCATTAGTTGTAGTATAGAGCATTTGATCTAATAGGTTGTTGGAAAAAGGTTAGGAAAAAATTGCTTTTGCTGGAATTTTCACAGCGTTTCAGAAGTCGTAAGAACCATACAGTAGCAAAATATAAACTAATAATAAAGCAAAATATAATATAAGAAAACTGGAACCTCTATTCGTTGATAAGAAATTGAAAGGCAATTTTCCTGGTATATGAATTTCGCCTTTTCCGAACCACTCCTCCTTCGTCATGCCACTCCCATAATTCTACTCCCATAGTCATCACTGTATGTAGATATAATATATTCATTCCTATCTATGTAGATAATCTATGTACGACAAAGTGCATGTTATTTTCACTGATTGTGATTTAGGCTTCGATTACGACATGGAAGTCACAAGTGCTAAAATAAATTCGTGCTTTTCACTGTTCTATATGCGTTTTTCAACATTACCAATTTTACGTGAGATTTCCTTCGACATTCTTGGTAACTCATGAGAGCGCCTGAAAGATGAGCCCGTGTTTCAGGCGCCTGATGAAGGAAAATCCAAGATTTTTCAAATATAATGATTTTTTGGCACAAAAACCCGTTCTTTATCTATTGCATGTCAATTTGTAGCATCGTAAGCTATCCCAGATTTTAGTGGATATGGTAATAGTTGATTATTATTACCCTCAATATTCGCAAATGCATAGCATTACTGTCTGTGATTTGTGGAACCTCTTGGGATCATGACATCTTTGATTTCAACATTCTACTAAAAATTTATGTATAAGCTAACTTGCGCGATACTTGCATAAGTAATTCCACGGACTTAGATTTCTTATTATTAGAAGTTATTCAACAAATCTGAGAATTCTTTCCTTTCAACTCAAAGTGTGATAGCTCAATTTTCGCGTCTATTGCAGTAATTATTACCAACAAATTGCTGTGAGCTAATAAAATTTGCAAGCTCATTTATACATCCGCTTGCAAAAACTGCCTTTTTTCTGTGTCGTGAAAAATTGGTTATAAACTAGTCTCTAAGATGTAAAAATGAACAACAACGATAACGTTTGCGAGCGAACCGTAAACTAAACTTTCTATAAATAGCAACAGGTTTCAAGGCTGTCGCGTTTGTTTCAGACGACGTCGAAACTTTGCAGCTAATGTATAATTCTGTGTTTTGGCGACGTTAGTGCAAGCAAGGAGATAGTCATAAAAATACAGAAAGAACAGGCGGCATAGAATTATGACTAGCATGAAGCTGCTTCATGAATTCTGAAACAGCTAATGTATAATCGTAGGCATGCAACAAAAACCATAATGCAAGGGATGGGAATTTGGTGCAAGGGATCAGTTTCTATTAATGCATTGATTCCTTTAGGACCTTTTTTTGAATAAAAAATTTGAAATATAGAAAGTTATATGGGTCCTCATAGTTTTATGGGTCTTTTATGGTCCTTATACAATGTTTTTGCTGCAAAAAGAAATAGAGGAATTGTTAGCTGGGAAACCACTTAAGCAACTTATTTATTTGTTTATTCATTCATTTATTTATTTACCCTTCAACTCAAGTTATGTCATGTGGAAAGATAAAAACGCCCAACAACAAAAATAAAATGTAACAGTTATTTGAGTAAAACTTTCTGACCAGTCGGACGACTAATTTTGGTAACTTCTCAGAAATTGACACTTCTCTTTTTATGGAATAAAGCATGCATTATGGAATTCAAAAAGTACCGGCTAGATAAATATAATAACATTTTATTTGAGCTATAAAAAATCGATGCTAGGCAAAAATTGTATAATCAGCGGGATGCTGAGTGATATTGAAAGAATCATTCGACAATCGCATCGTTGCATTATTATTTTCAGTGTCCAAAAGCACTTTTTTATAAGTCCATAAACTTATTGAACACGTCATAAAAAGCAACAATAGCCACTATTCCATGTGCACATCTATCTGTTCAACTATGAAATCTCGCAAAGAATTTTGTGAGCAAAAGAAGTGTTAGCAGGGAAAGTTTCTACATTCTAGATTCTTGGATTTTGACTTTTGAGCAGGGCTCGACACAGTGGCTTATGAGCAAGCTGGATATAGTTTTTGGGACAAAAAGCAAGAGGAACATCGTTTTTGCGCTCTGAAACACATGTTAGGTTAGGTTTTTTTAGTCGACGTTTCCGATTACAGATCAAAGGGGACTTCGTAATATTTTGCGGAAGTCGTTTTTTGCATATTCGAAAGCCATCTCGTGCCGAGCCCGGCTTCTGAGAAGTCGAAAAAACTCTGGTAGCAAAATTTGCGAACTGAACTTCGCAACGAAATTCAGGCTTTTCTGTTCACAACTGCATTTTTAAACTGATAGAGTATCATTGTTAATTAAGCGATGGTTAGATCAGCCCATACGACCTTAAATCTGTTTAAGGCGGTATTTTTTACATTTCTGTCGCAAAATTCAGAATGGGAAATGTACTCTTAGGTATTTTCTTTTTATGAGAATTGCAAGAAATAGTTCTGGAACTATAGAACATTTAAAAAATTGGTGTAGGCAAAACAAAATTTTTTGAATAATTTAAAGTTCTAGCTCACCAGTCTCCAAAAACGTAACTGGAGAAGTTTTTTCTTATCATCCTAATGCAGGTCGCTTGCGTCTTCACATTACATTCAACAAATTTTTACTTTGTTCTCAACGATAAAGCAAATTTGCTGAACTTAACATTTACTTTTGCTGGCTCATCGACTACCAATTTTTGCGCATTTTTTTAGCACATATTCAGTGTAATAATATGGTGGAAATTTATGTCATGGGCTGGACGATTTTTTTTTTGAATATAATTGATTTTAGATTTATGACGAAGTTTTGCATATCTGATATAAACCCGTTCTACCTCAATCGAAGATCTCGAATGAATGCGTAAACTTCAGAAAAAAATTTTTCAAATTGATTTAGCCTACTGGTAGTGCACGCCATCCTCGATGGGCTAAAAGGTTCGTATCATTTGTCAAAAGCGAAGAATCAACTCATAAACAAAAAACATGTCACTATCATTTGTATTAAATGGTGCTTACAACCAGCGGATGTGATCGAACAGCTGGATAAATTGCAGCTACTGTAAAGACAAGTGTTGAGCAAACAGAAGTGGATAGAGGTACCACTCGTAGCTTTGTCAATAAATTTTCCTATTTTATGGGAGAGTAATCGAGCAATCTCACCATAAAACGAACTCCATGTCTGCATCAGATAGTGAGTGCCAAGGAGAGCAGATCGTAGTGGATTTTTCCTGAAATATTTATAGGTAGCATTATGAAAAGCGAAACTGTTGCTATAAACTACGGTAAGAGTACAACAAAAAGTAGGTTGTTAAGCGTTTTCGAACATTTTCACTGAACTACTATTTTTTTGAAACTAATTTATATACAAGACATAGGCGAAAGTTTGCAGTTGCCGTCTCGCATATAGTAGCTTATAGCTAAGCAAGTGGGAGGAGCGTAGAGTTAACAGCGACTGAGTCTGCCACTTTTTGATTAGTTCCTTTTCTGATATAAGGTAATTTTATACAGGTGTGCATACTCAGACAATCCAATAGATTTTCCGCAAGACAAGCATGATTTGCACGGTTCCAAATGATTTTGTTTAGCGTCATAAAAGCAAGCGAAAAAAATAGGAATTTCCGCAGGGTTTGACGCCAGTCCAACTGTAGACGGAAACTTTCGCGGAACTTTTCTTTTCAGCTGCGCGAGGTTCGTTTGCTGATCAGCGAATCCGGTTTTCTGTTTATAAACAGCAGGAAAAAATGTAGGGGACATCTATGATTATAGAAGATAAATTAGAATAAGAATAGGATGTGTATAAAGTAGGTTAGGATGAAAAAATGGCCTTAAGAAGAAGAACGGCATAGTAGAAAAGAATGAAGAAAGAAACATAACTCAGCTTTGGAGAGCGTTTTTGTTAGCTTTTTTGCGCAAATCTCGTAAGCGGAAATCAACTTGTCGTCGCGTGTGAATGCGTATGTGATGTATGATCGTAGAACTCTTCAAAAACAACGTTTATGCATGAGTTTGACCAAAAGAAAACGAAAGAAAAGCTCGTCGATTGCGATTTGCCGATACATCGTAAACGGCCGTGCGGCTCTCGGAAAACGTCCGATGGTCGGACGCACAGCGGGATTTCTGTTCCGCACAATGGGATACAAACACATATATCCATATCTAAATGATACACGGAACGCTTCAGAGGCAACAAAAGCTCTGGCGGCGATTTTGTGCCATGGAAAATGGAAAACGAGTGGTGAAAGTGCGTATAGGGAGGGGCGTGGGGCGCTATGGTCAATAATGCTATAGTAATAATAGATTTGGCATGTTTTGCATGCATTTTCTGGAAATGTTGGGAAAGTCCATTTAATATTCAGATACTAGTTTGTAGTTTGTAGTCCAACATTTTATTACTCACCATTTGTACGAATAGGAACGATTGTGAGAATATAATGCATAGTCACTCTATTCTTGCCTTAGTTATGTCAAAAACTAGAGATAAAGATTAGCTGAATACGGTAGCAAAACGTACTAATTATCCTGCCAGGTACTTTGACCTGGCAAGATAATTCATTCAACAGTGCATAGAGTTCATGCTTTCACATGATGATTATGCTGTTGACGGTATCTGAGGGGGTGCGCGCTATAGAAGATCCAAAAATAAAATTCTCATAAAAAGTGTCCGATGTAGACTTAGAAGCAGCATTCAGGCAAATTCTACGCTCTCCCAATTAGTATCTAGCTTGAGAGTCCTAGGAGTAGGACATCTGCTTTGGTCCGATCCTCCAAAGTGGCCTCCGAATGGAAATGACTTGGAATCCGCGAAAGCGCTACCAAGTCACGCCCATCTTATCAAGCTCCGCCCTCTCACCATAATCAGGGCCAGGGAGAGCCCCAAAATGAAAAAAAAAACATGGGAAGGGTAAAGATTTGAGTGGATGCATCCCAGCCCCCTAGCTCAAATTTTGCAAAAAATCGATAAAATCGACATCGATCGACAACGAAAAGTGGACTGTGACACCCGCCGGGGCCCGAAGTGTATGTGTGCCAAGTTTGGTCCGGATCGTTTGAGAAATGGAATTTTCTATTCGGAACATACGGCGGAGCCGGGTAAGCCAGCTAGTGAATCATATGATCAATCGCTTAGAGAGTGGCTTAGAGGAAGACATTTTATTTAGTTTTCCCGAAAAAAGATAAAATTTTTTGAACAGCCTTAAAGAATGTGGAGCTACGAAGTTTGACACGCAAATGGGATACTTCAAAAAGATCCTCAGTAATATATTAGTTTATTTTCGGCTACATACATGTAAAAAGTAATGAAGGCATCAATTTTTCGTCTGCATTTACAGACTTGCGAGGCTACTTACAGTAGCCTCGCAAGTCTGTAAATGCAGACGAACAACTGTTATTATAATGATTTCACCTCGAAGCCAAGTGGACCGCAAGTATGATATCCAAGCGAAAAAATCGCAGCTATTTTCTTGGATATTACAATTTTTAGGTGAAGCACATAGAATCTGTAACATGACCAAAACTGAGCAGCTGCAAATACTGGTTGCTAAGCGCCGTTTACTGAAAAATGCGCCGTCATTATAAATCAAAAGAGGCTAAAAATATGCAGACGTGCACTTTTAAACTTTATCTCCACGATAAAAACACTATTATGAAACATTCGCATTAGATGAGATGGCAAAAAAGAAAAGTTTTTATAGATGGCAGCCGTTTCGCAACACTTGTTCCAGTCTATGTAATCTGAATGATCTCTAGGTAGAAAAAGAACCGAAGGTGCGTAGGGAACACAGGAAATTGGATCCGCATTATTTTCTTATGAGGGGGAATGGAAGGATTATTTGGCGGGAAAAGCTACAAGGGTGGACAATGGCTAGGATTATACGGTATTCTTGAAAAAACGGAAATATCTGACCATTAGGGTGTTGTTGTTGAAGGAGGCTATAGTCTTAGCTTAGAATCGTATCAATGCCCTTTCAAGCCTGTTCTTCTTTGAGAAGGATGAATTCGAGGGGTTTTCTTATATGGGCTAATTATCAAAATTTTGTATAAAATGAAGCATTTTGTTCGAGTCCTCACGTCCAAGTATCTCAATTTGAGACAAACTGTTGTTCCATATTTCAAATGGAGATGGAAGATAGATTGCTCGTAATCCTTGTAAAAATACCAGTCTTTCACTTCTTATCAAAATATTTGTATTTAACTCGTCGAAATTTTTTTTTTGATAAAGAGTTGCGAAAGTTGTTGGGATACAGTAGGTATGTACGTGGTAGGTATACGGTAAGAGACCAATCTTTTTGCGTCAGAATTTTTTTTACTGAGATTGAACGAGTTCGTCTCTTAGCATATACCTACCACACCCCGACTGGCGCGGTACGTTAGGGTAAAACTTGTAGATAAAATTCGAAAAAGTCAGAAATTCGTTGAAGCATGTTGTTATACCTCCCAAGGGACTGCAGTTCGATGAGAACGGCAAACTCGCACGGTCTTCTCTCTACAGAAGTTATGAGCGCTTGCTTTTTGGACCCTCCAGTTTCTGCAAAGCGCCGTAATCAGAGATCTAACCCTAGCACTGCAGGGCGATCTCTCTCTCTTTCGGAACCCGCTGTGGTACACCTGCAAACGCTAGAAAGCGTGCGTAGAGCAGATGATACGCAAAAATCCACAGAAATCAAGTTTCAGAAGACACCCGCCGACGAAGAACTTCGTGTCATCCATCATCGGCCGTGTCGACGACGCAGACTCGTCGTCGATAGGCATACGGCCGGCCACGGAGTCTTGCGTTGCTTTCTCTCTTTCTTTGTGCAGGGCAGTGGTAGTAAATATAGCGAGTGCGACCTTGTTAAAACATCAGCCAAGCACCTGGTAATCAAACTAGCCGACCCCGACTCCGATACTTTTACAACCCCACATCGTAAACTTATCACTCTGGTGCCGTGGTTAGCGGCCACATACAGCCTCTTCACCCCATCAACAACAGCGCATTCGCATCGGGTCAAGGGAGATAGGGTTCAGATATGGTGAAAGGGGACCCTAAAACTCTACTTATAAGGGGACGGCCCAGACGAGTTTGAGAATCTGGATTCTAAATTTGGGTATTTATTTGTCCCCATAGCTGCATAGACCGTACTGACTGATTACCGACCAATCAGCGTCACTGGGTACGGTCCAAGGTACGGTCTGGGTCGAACTTTGAAATAGACCTTTACGGTGCGATGCACATGAAGGGCAGTTTCAGACTGGGTAACTGAACTCTGTATGCGGATATTGATTAGCAGCCATACTACGCAGACCGACTCTTTCCAAATCGACTAATCAGAGTGCGCGATTATGGTAGAAAGTACGGTTTGGGCTGTTCGTTATTTGATATTTTAACCTCGAATGAATCGAATGAGCTCCAGTTTGGGTAGCGGTTTAATATAGGCCTTCCGATCAGCTTCCAAATAAGAACTTAGGTTCCCAGGTTTGCCAGAGCTGCATATAGTTCTTCCTGATGAGGAAATTCCAAAAATTGAGGAAAATTCAAGATTGTGAAGAGTATGAGTATCACTGGGAAAGGGTGCAAAATAATGTTTCCCCCATCCCTCAAGGTTGCTAAACTGCATTCTTTTCCCTTTTCATTCTCCGATTTTTTTCGCTTGGTGTTTGAACACCGTTCTAAGGTGTTGATGTAGATCTAGTGTGTAATGGACATAACGCCATCGTAACTACGCGACATCTCTTTGACGAATTGCCCCATACCAATTTTCCGGAATAGACTCCGCCTTCATACCTTGAGGAAAGAGGGAAACAGTCATACTTAGATTGACCATCTAGTAATTTACGCAGTAATAAATAAATTATAGAAATTAATTCGCGACTGACACAAGGGCGGATACAAATTGAGTACATAGGAATAAAAACTTAAGCCTCCTAGGAATGATAAGGGGTTCAATTTTTACAGAGTTTCATTTTTGCATGCTTCTTTTCACTGTGAAAAATTTATGCTGAAATTACAAAAGAAAAATGCACTCGTAATTTTATTGTTCAAAAAAAAACGTCAAAAGAATACAAAGCATTTTTTAAACTATGGTCAACTGTGTATATTGGTCTTAAAGAAAAGAGAAAATTCTGTGCTTATATTTGAGCGCCTCGCTTGTCTGAAGTAAAACTTTCATTCCTAAAAATAATGTGCAATTGTTCTCCAACTTCGGATTTTGCTAAATCGACAGAGATGAAATCATAACTGGAATTGACAGGG